ATTTAAACTCTGTATTTAAATTTTACTAGTAGTTAATAATTTAATTTTGATAGTATCTCAAGCATTCGAAATTAGTGACAATAATTTCGTTTTATTTCTATGAATTTTCTATTTAATTATCGTCTCAAAATTTAAATCTTACTTGTAGGATCGATATTTGGGACTTAAATAGAAAAACTTATATTATTTGATAACGATACGTATACTTGCGTAGAATCCCAACATTAAGTGTTTAACGTTATTATTCATAAAATACAACATTAAATTTTTTGCACCGTTGCAAAGCGGAGTCAACTTTATAAATTTTACACAATTATATTCAACCGGGATCAACTAGCACATTTTCCTACATATAGCAAGCTTGAAGGCATTGTATGTGGAAGGAAGATCAATAAATCTTTAGGATCAATGATCATTCCAAGAACTACAAAAGTATTGACTTTAGCTTTAATTTGAGACAAATATTTTGTCATGGTGTGATTTCTCATAGACATTGTGCGGCTTAGTTTTGAACTAGATAAGAAAAAATTGATTATATGATTGCAAATGTTTCTCAATATTAAACCAAATATATGTACAAGTTTGAGGATTAATAACACAAGGATGATGAGAAAGAGAGATAATGAAAGAAATAGCTGCAACCAATTTTTGATATATTAATTACCAAGTCTGATAGAGGGTAAACCATGCTCCGCAACCATTGTGATACTGGAACTAGTAGGGAAAATAGTGAAAATACAAATGCAACTTTTATTAATAGGAAAATAGAATTACAACACAATACAAACTGAAAATAACATCACCAAACATATGAATACACAAATAAACACCTCGATAGTGCATCCCAAAGGGCGGTAGGGTGGTTATGTAGATCAGAATGACAAGCGAGGTTGGGGGCATCAAAGGCGAGGTGAGAAAACTGCACGAACAGCTAGAGGGCTGGCTGTCTTGTGCAGCGACAGCAAGAAATTAGGGCAGAAACAGCAAAATTTTGTTGCCCCAGAGCGACAGTAGCAAGAACTGGTGAGTCAAAAGCAAGGTTAGCAAAGATGCGGGCGGTTTGGGGAGGCAGACAGGTGCTGAACAGTTAGACGCATGCTGCAGAAAATGGGTGGTAGGGTGTTGGGGATTGGAGTGGCCGGCATTTTCAAAAGGTGGGGGAGAAGGTTTAGGAGAGGACAAAAAGGGAAGATACACCACCACCTCGGAATTAGATACAGCCGGAGCACCTCCACCTCCTTGGATACAACCCTATAAAAAAGAAAGAGGCTCCACAGAGGAAATCTGAAAACTAAAAACCAAGGCTGCCCTAATTATCTGAAACAACAATAATATAGACTCCAATTCGGGGAAAAAGGAAAGAAATAGGAAAGGAAACTCCCACACAAAAAGAATTGGGTGGGAATACTCCAAAAAATAGCCATTAAAGGCTTTCCAAGGTAAGAGCAAAAGATGAAGGGAGGTAGTCCCGCCTTCTACACGGTATTCCCGATCCTTCTGCCCTGCTCCATCGTGATCGCTTTTCTGAATTGGTCCCCTAAACCGTTCCAGTAATTGACCAGTCGGTTCAACCTGTTGTCATATTAACGCCCCGCCACAAGAGCACATTTTGGCGCTCCACATCAGTCTTTAGGGGTTGAGGGAGCTTCGACCTCATTCGTTGAAGCTTCTTATTCTTGTCTTCAATCCTAGTAACACCTGGATTCTCATGGTACAGCGTTAAGTCCCCTGATAGGTTGATCAGGTAAGCGTTGTCATTCCACAACACATTCTGGTAGAATAGGTATTTGTCCTCTTTTGGCACATCCTGAGCGAGAGCTGCATATAAAGGTGGGTGGGTTCTCGCAATATAGCTCTCGAGCCTTTAAGCTTAGAGCCCTCTCCCTCCTTTTTTCGTACCCAACAGGCTATAGCTGACGAACAAACAAACGAGAAATCAATTTTGGGATGACAATTGTGGCAGGTTGTGCCCCTCACACTAGCAACCATTCATGAGAGATATCTTCAGTAACAGTACTTGGAACCCATTGAAGCAGACAGTAGGAAATCGGAAGAGGTGGGTGAGGGTAGGAATGAAAAATTTTTGG